ATTGATTAGCCATCAAAAATAATATAATATTTCATCTTTCTCATAAAATATGTGCTAAAAATTTATTAGGACATTAATATACAGGTTTACCTCTCTAGTAGGACAAGCTATGAATCCAGAACATTATGCTTCCTTTGGTGTTTTTAAAAGTAACATTCTAGCACAGATCTGCATAAAATACATGTGTGTGCATGTGCACACACACACACACACAGCACCTTCAAAAAGTTCATGGCAAATGCATTTTATGATAAAACTATACATAGATTTCAAAATGTTTTGTATCAAAATATATGCATATTTTAATCCCATTGTTCCATGAAATTTTGAAGTACCCTCCTAGTAGGGGAGGGGAGTATTATGTGTAGCAGTTTCCATAAATCTGTCCTTGAACTTTTCACAAATGTCCTTAGTTCTCTCTGAGTACAAGGAGGGTTTTATAAACACTGAGGAATGGCTGCTGGACAGGCAGTCGCAGTGTCTGTCACGCAAGTAAACCATAGCTTTCCTCTCTCCTGAATTATAAGGAGTTTGATGGTCACAATTAAATTTTTAGCAATATTGTTGATTGCCCTATTAGATGTAAGGAGACATTTCTGAAACAAGTTGCCATCACCTTAAACACAATAGTTGAAAAAAAAAAACACTTTTGTTTTTTTTCTCAGATTTCTGTATTATTGATAAAGGTCTTCAAAATCATCCCACAAACTTAGTTCACGATAAAAGGCATTCACAATATTTTGTTTGTTTCACTAAAAAGTGTGTTTTTCATTGACACCTCTCTACATTCTTAGGATCTGATCATAAACAAGAGAATCAAATCCCTCTGCTTGCTGATTTTTTGCATAATAAAGGTGTATCTAACAGGAAGGTGGTTGGATACAAAGTAATACTTCTCAACATAACATTAATTTCTGATAGTCTGAAAGAACAAACCAAGTTGCTTGAATTTAATCCCCCAAAACTGGGTGCAAACATGTTCATTAGGGTCTGTAAGAGGGTGAAATTGGATACAATCCAAATGTCCCATATCAGAGGCCAAGTAGGAGGAAATGATCATGTGTCCATACAGGTAATCATTAAAAATAATTATGCTGCTGCTTAGTTGTTACTTAGAAAATGTTCTAGCCATTGAGCATAACTGTGTGGAATAATATTTATTTGTCAAGGCATTCATGATGTAACTGTGAATGAAAGGGTGGCCATAAAGCAGTTTGGAAACTCTAACTCCCTGGTTAGACATCACTCTAACCAGAGATTTTCTCCGAGTGGTATGATTGGAGTGAGGCCTTTCCCCTCCCGTTTTCAGGTTTTCACTTTCAGATATGTGTTGGCTTGTTCCCTATTGCTGCTGCTTTTTGCTTTCTTTTCCTTTCTGTCTGCTACTGAGTTGAACTAATTTCTGAAGAGAAAGCGCAGTAAGTGTGTGCTTCCTGCTGATTGACTGCTATCATGCTAAGAATGGTTTTATGAAGCATAGGTTAAGACTAGTCTCATTGAAAAATGGCAGTTTTTTTAGATTTGTAACAAATGGGATATTGACTAATAAACATGATCTGTGCCCTCACACAATCTACCTTAGTCTAATTGGAAAGAGAGAGCTTAGTTCGGCTTCAGTGCTGTTACTGAACATAGCAGCCACTTCTGGCCACTGCTTCTGTTGTCTCTTGACTTCGCCTCTTTATCCTGCCATGGTTCGGTGACAGTGACTCTTTTCACCAGGTTCCTGCTCAGTCTGTTGGAAATAGCACCTTGCCTGAACCTGTTTTAAGTGCCTCTCATTCGCTATCCCTCCTACGTGATCACAGGGGTCACCCACAGAGCCTGTTTCTCACGCACAGTACACAGCCACGATGCGTGCATACTCTATTCCCACAGGAGCTCCTGCTGTGCCTGCATCGCCCACTCTCCCCCACCCTCTGCCTGCTAATTGAGTTTGCTCCATGAGAAGCCCTGGCAGGAGATCAGTGGGCAGGAGAAAAAAGATGAGTGACTTCTTCCTTCATTCGTGCCCTGCCTCAGCAGAAGGTTCTGGCATAGACTCTGTCCCTTGACAACGACAGCTCCTGCTGGACAGCCCCTGTGGCTTTGCTGTAGCCCTACCAGGCCATTTGCTGCCCTGGTCCCTTCAGGCCGAGGGGCAGTAATAGCTTTCCATCGTTGCCAGTCCCTGGGTAGCAGAACATGCCTGCTTGGCTTCTGTAGCCTGCCTCCAGCTCTGCCGATAGCCTCTTCAGAAAATTCCCTTCAGAATCCCAGCTGAGCATGCCTTTTGTTTCCTGCCAGAACCCTGCTAATGAAATTGCATTTACTGAGATCTTGCAAGAGCTAAGAAGCTGCCTCTTTGTAAGGAGAGTGTAGGTAATAAACTGGCAGAGTTTAATACGTGATGAAATGCCAGAAAGTAGAAAGGAATGGGGCCAAAGAGAGCATGCCAGAAGAAAAAGCCCCTGAGCTAACGAATGCAAGTCAAAAGTTTGATAAGAAAATAAGGATCTCTCTGCTTCTTATTTTGAAAGCTAAATATGCAGGGTCAAGGCTAGTAAAAAGAGATATGAATACAAGAAATGCACAAGTCATGTCTATTGTTTGATGTTTAACCAAATTAAGTTATCTTAGGCATATAAACAGTTTCTAGACACGTTCTTAGGAAGGGATACAGTGGACTGGCAACATCATTCACTCTAACAAAATGTGTGTCAGCAGTTCACATGTTTCAAATGGTCGTAAACAATGACTTCAACTCTAAATACTATTAGCCCAGGTCACTTGATTTACGGATGCCATGATAAATAAATGAGCTTTTAGTAAACACTAAGTACAGGCCAGACCCTGTGCTGATGTGTTCATGTATATCATCTCCATTTATTTTCTTAAAAACTGTGCTGGAATGTGTGCTTGTCAACTTGATTCATCTCGGAGCTCTCGTTCTCAGAATCCCCTCTCCGTGTGGCTCTCGCTTAGAGTTGGGCAAAGAAGAACTTGCATGTGGTGGGAAGGCCAAGCCTGCAGAGGGCTCCTGGGGGTTGCAGACCCAGTGGCCCCCAGATGTGGAGTCCTCCATGTGTGTCTGGCTCAGCTGCCCGACTGCTGGCACTGCTGATCAACCATGGCCCCAGACTCAGCATACACTGCGTGGCTGTGGACTAACACAGCCCATGTCTCAGATGAGAAAATATTTTCCTTTCCCACACTCTGTCACCCAAGAACCAAATTCCCCAGAGATAGGGGCTGGGCATTCAGTCATTCTACCTTGGATTATTTGCCTATTCATGAGGATAAGCACTTTCTATATGAGGGACTGCACATTGGGAAAACTAGCCTTGGGAAGTGGGGATGGAGGCTAAGTGGCCAAAAATAACAAGAACATCCAATGTCCACCAGTGCATTTCCCAGGGGTTTCTCTGCTGTGGACCAGTTGATAATTATAGATAATGTTTATTCAGCTCCTCTGTGCCAATAATCCAGCTGTTTATACATCTAACTTTAGTTACAACCTTACAACAGTCATACAAAGCAGGCACTTTTCATTCTGTTTTACAGTAAAGAAAATAGGTAAAGTTGGTGACTTGCTGACTTCCAGTTTGTAAAATACAATTGGCTAAAAGTACTGAGTCTAGTTTCAGAACTACTAGATTTTCAACACCAGTTTGGCTAGCATTGTTGTTAATCCATAGTACAGAGATTCTAGTACTGCTCCTATATATTGCAATGACAAAATGTGTGGCATAAATTGATCTGCTTATTCCACAGAACAATTCTACATATGCAGGATTTATTTTTATTTTTTATTATTATTCAGTTTAGTAACATTGAATTTTTAAACCCTACTTTTTGGCTTAAGCTTTTGATTATAATTTACAAATATTATCTCATAAACACAGGTGTCCTAAGTGGTGTCTTCATCATTGTGCCAAACATGTGCCCCATACCTATTTTTGATTTAGCAAATTTTAATACTTTTAAGGAATATTTTAAAAGTTAATTTTTTGAAAATTTTTATTTATTTATCTATTTGTTTATTTATTTGAAAACAAGAGAGACTTTTTCCATCTAGTAATTCACTCACCAAATGCCACAACAGCCAGGATGGGGCCAGGGCAAAGCCAAGAGCCCAGAACTCAATCTGGGTCTCCCACATGGGTGGCAGAGGCCAAGCTTGGAAACCATATCCTACCTCCCAGGTGCATAAGCAGGAAGCTGGATTGGAAGCAGAGCACCTAGGACCCAAACCTGAACTGATGCTCTGATATGAGCTACTAGCATTGCAGCAGGGACTTAATCTGCTGTGCCACAACACCAGCCCCGTATTTTTAACCTGAATTTATAAGGGCACTATATCTTATTTCACCATATTATAATTGACTCACAAACTTTCTCAAATACACAAGCAATTCTTTTGTTTAACGTCCTTATAGATACGACTCACATGCCATAAAATTCACTCATTTAAAATACAAATTGAAGTGTTTACAACTTACTCCTTTAAAATATAAAATTGGGGCTTGTGTTGCAGCATTGCAGGTAGCACAGCCACCTGGCCACCAGCATCCCTTATGGATGCCAGTTCATGACTTGGCTGCTCCACTCCACTTCCAATTCAGCTCCCTGCTAGTGGCCTATGAAAATCAGCGGAAAATGGCCCAAGTGTTTGGACTCCTGCCACCCACATGGAAGACCCAATGAAGCTCCTAGCTCCTGGCTTCAGCCTGGCCCAGCACTGACTGGCCATGTAGTCATCCGGGGAGTGAACCAGCATATGGAAGACATCTCTCTCTCTCTCTCTCTCTCTCTCTCTCTCTCTCTCTCTTCCCCTTCCCCTAGTAGCTCTTTCAAAATAAGTAAATATTTGCGTGTGTGCATGTGTATGTGTGTGTATGTGTGTATTATATGTAAAGTTGGGACTGGTTTTGTGGTACAGCAAATTAAGCTGCTGCCTGCAGTGCCAGCATCCCACAAGGGCACTGGTTCAAGTCCTGGCCGCTGTGCTTCCAATGCAGCTCTCCGCTGATGCACCTGAGAAAGTGGTGAAAGATGGCACAAGCGCTGGGGCCTCTGCACCCATTTGGAAGACCCAGAGGAAGCTTCTGGCTTCGACACGGCACATCTCTAGCTGTTGCAACCATTTGGCAAGTGAACCAGCAGAGAAAGATCTCTCTCTGTCTCTCTCTGTCTCCCTCCCTCCTTCTGTCTCTCAGCCTTTAAAATAAGTAAACAATTCATATATGTATATATAATGAAAGTATATAATTTAAAGTGTATAATTCACTTATTTTCGTGAATAATAAAAAAAGGCAACTATCATCACCATCAATTTTAGAACATTTCGTCACCTCACAAGGACATCCCTCATCCTTAGTCAGGTGTGTCTTACCAAATAAGTTTTATTTAAGGTATGGTAAATCTTAAGTTCTCTTCACTGCTCTAATACTCTGTGTTAATTTAGGAAGGTTTTCAATTTGAAATCAAACATAAAACAGTGACTCAATTATTTCTTTTACATTGGAATCGACGGTGCTTCTAATGGGCCAGGTTATCTAAAATATCATAAATATCTGAATGTAGATTATTTCTTAACAAAAACTATAAGAATAATATGGGTTTGATTTCCTTCATCATTTCTACATCTAACTCCAAATCGTCCCAGAGCCTAAACTACATCTGCTCACTAAAGATAACTTAGATCTTACAAACATGATTTGCTTCATGAAGCAAGTTTGGGGAACTAACTTCTCAGCTAGATGAAGCTGCCCATCAGTGGGAGATTTGGGCTCAGAGATCCCAGGACTATGAGTGACAAGTGAAGCCCACACTTCTGTAGGCATCGTATCAAGAGAATCAGTGCCTTCGAGGTAGCTGCCAGAGAAGGGTTTGGGGGAACCTAGAAGAGAGGGAGGCTCAAGCGGGGTAGCAGAGGCAGAGCCTAGAGAGAAGGTTGTGCAGGTCAGGTGGCACACAGTGAAAGCAGCCAAGGAATATTGGAACGGAAGGGCTGATCACCAGTGCCGCCATCGCCCTCTGGGGTTGCGTCCCAGCCTTCAGCAGCGTGGTGATATTTTCATGTTTCACCCACAGAAGTAGAGCCCCGGGGCACCCAAGGAAGGGGGAAGGAAGCAGCGGACTTGGGAGGCAGGCAGCCCTGTGAGCTCGTGTAGGAGTGCCAGGGCGCACTCCTCCCACCACAACCCCACAGAGCCCTGGGCTTACCGCAGAGGTCTGACTTGGTGAGTAGGGTAGGGTGTGGACCGTGTTATCTGGGTTCTGATAAGAGGGGCTTGGGGACTCCCAGGCAGCAGAGGCTTGGGCTACAGGAGGATGTGGCCTCCTACTACTTAGGAAAAATCCTACTCAGGAGAAACGACGCTGGGTTATTTCCTGCCATTGTTTCTATGAAGGCCAACTCATGAAAAATCTAATTTGTGCTGAGTTACAGGATTCCACACAGCTGCGTTCAGCGACTCAGCACCTCCACGCCAAAGAGGGGTTTCCAGATCCTCTTTTCTACCACGGCTGATGAGAGAAGAAGGTGCTGGCCTCTCAGGCTGCAAGGGAGGAAGTGGGTCTCTCAGCTGCTCTAGCACCAAGTTCTTTTGAATTGTCGCAGTGGCCTGGAGAATTCTGCATGTTGGTCTTTCTAAGTAAGCAGGATATTCTGTTAATTTTTCATCAGGACAATTTGTCTATCTTCATAACCCTCTGATTTAAACTTAAGATTTAAAAAAAAATTTCTTTTATTTATTTGAAAGAGTTACAGAGAGAGGTAGAGCAAGGCGGGGCGGGGGGGGGGGGGTCTTCCATCTGCTGGTTCACTCCCCAAATGACCGCAATGGCCAGAGCTGAGCTGATCCTAAGCCAGGAGCCAGGAGCTTCTTCCGGGTCTCCCACATGGGTGCAGGGGCCCAAGCACTTGGACCATCTTCCACTGCTTTCCCAGGCCACAGCAGAGAGCTGGATCAGAAGAGGAGCAGCCAGGACTCGAACTGACAGCCATATGGGATGCCGACACTGCAGGCCAGGCCTTAACCTGCTGCACCACAGCACCAGCCCCTGAACTTAAGATTTTCAAATATCTTAAGTGTGGGCATTTTGCCTAGTGGTTAAGAGGCAACAGGTGATGGCTCGAGTACCAGGGTCCTTGATACCCACGAGGGAGACCCAGATGGAATTCTGAGCTCTTGGTTTCAACCTCTCAACCCAAGAGTTGCTGGCATTTGGGCAGTGAACAGTAGATGGAAGAATATTCTCTCTCTCTCTCTCCCTCCCTCCCTCCCTCTGTACATGTCTGTGTGTGTGTCTACCTTTCAAATACATAAAAGTTAAATAATATTTAAATCTCCATATCTTCAAATATTTTCAGCAAATTGGAAAATGTTTTAAACATTGTCACAGCTAAATAAAACCTGCTCTAAGCCAAATGCAGCTGAAGAGAGCCCAGGGACTTCATCTACAAGCCACGTGGCAGGTAGATGGGGCCATGAGACCAAGGGAGCCCATGGGAGGTGGCCAGAGGAGACTAAGTATGTCATTGCTGTGTTGGGACTGGCAAGTATCTGGGGTGCTCTCCCCTTCCTGTTGTCCCCTTCCAGGACAACCTTGGAGGTACATGCTGGCCTTGCCACTTTAAGAGGTCATATTTAATCCAACAAAGGCAGGAAGCTGGAGCATGAAGAACATTCTAAGCTATTCACACGTGGGATACTTCTCCCTGGCCCTGACCCCAAAAGAGAGAACCAGAAAAGATGTGGAGGGAGAATGCTGTCCTAGTTAAGACAGAAAATCAATGTGTGTGGTTCCGACCTCCTGCCCCCAATCCTAAGGAACAGATAAAGCCCGGTTCAGGGTCAAACTCCCAGCTCTCCTTGGGAAAGGCAGAGTAAGCAAAATGGGGAGACAGTGGTTACCCCTTGCCCGAGAACAACTAGGCAGAATTTTCCACCCCTGCTGCATTCATCCCCCACCAGAGGTCGATTAGAAGGTCACACATTGGTGACCAAGGGGGACTTTTGCCTTAGCTCCTGCCTCTTTCCCACTGGGGATGGTGTGGGGAAACGGCTACTGTGTAAAGTCTGCCCATCCTTTTTTTTTTTTTTTTTTTTTTTAATTATTTACTTGCTTGTTTTGAGAGCAGAATGATAGAGAAAGACAGAGACAGAAAGAAAGAGATCTTTCACCTGCTGGCTCATTCTCCAAATGGCTGCAAAGCCTGAATTGGGCTAGATTAAAGCCAGGAGCCTGGAACTCCATCCTGCCCTCCCACATGAATGGCAGAAACCCAGGTACTTGGGCCATCATCCACTGCTTCCCAGGTGCATCAAGGGTCCGGATCAGAAGCAGAATAGCTGAGACTCGACCTGGCCCTCTGGCATGGGATGGAGGTGTCCCGGCTAAGGCTTACCCTGCGGTACAACACCTGCCACGACCCATCCCTTGTTTATTCCAAAATTTCACCACCAACACAATTGTCATTTCAGTCACGGCTGCACTTCTAACGTCTAATTGGCTACAGAACTTCATGGGATACTGACATTATTAGAAATGTATGTTCTGAACACCAGGGAATGCCGCACGAAAGCAGTTCCCCTGCTTTGGCTTTGTAACTTGACCTTTGAGCTCTTTCAGAATTCCTGTTCTTGCCTGGATAGAAACCCCTGGGCCTTGTGACTCTCAGATGAATACATATTAACTCACTTCTGCCTGCCATGAGCTCATGTCCATCATCTCTGTCTGTCACCCTTAAGGCCTTTGCTGACTGTGCCACCAATCTCACCAGCATTTCTTCTCCCAGACCCCTGCTGGACAAGCCTTTATCTCATCAAGCTGACTTTCAACACTTTCATGCTTCTGTTTCAGTCTTCATGTGTCATAAATTTCATATTGTAAATTCCTTGAGGGCAAGAACCCTAAGTTTATTTATTGTTTTATCCCAACTACCTACTACATGCAGTAGCCTTTATACCTAATTGACTTTATATCCTTTTAAATTAACGATATGTAAGCATCATGATTTATATTGCTTTCTATAGTTCCACACATCAAAAATAAGATTTTTTAAGAGAACAAACAAGTTCATTATATTTTTGCTTACGAATAAACAAGTTTATTGAATAAAGACTGATAGAGGAAATAGACAAAAGTTCTACCTTTTACATTAGTACCTGTTGGTTGGTTTGGGTTTTTTGATTGTTATTGTCAATAATGTCATTACAGAATGACATTGTTCAAACTTTTGACCATGTAACTGCTTACCCCATGTTTACCTTTGAGCAGTAGTAATTGCAAAGTCAAATAAGCAAGCCGCGTAGATATTATCTACAGGAAGAACTCACCTGGGATGCAGGACTTTATACAAACAGAAGGTGAGTGCATTTTATTGTTGTAGAATTTCCTCTGTCAGCTGGAAATGTTCCTTTGTCATTCAAACATTAACTTGCATAGACTGAATCTGCAGAAATATGAACTTTTTTATTTATTCATCTGTTTGGGAGGCAGAGTTGCAAAGAGAAGAAGAGTCAGAAAGAGAAGTTTTCCATCCACTGGTTCACTCCCCAAATGGCTGCAACAGCCAGAGCTGGGTCAGCCCGAAGCCAGGAGCCAGGAGCTTCCTCCAGGTCTCCCACGTGGGTACGGGGGCCCAGGGCCTTGGGTCTTTGTCCACTACTTTTCCAGGCAATAAACAGATAGCTGATTCAGAAGAGGAGCAGTTGGAACTCGAAAGGGGACCACTGGGGCCAGCGCCATGGCACAGAGGGTAAAGCCGCCACCTGCAGTGCCAACACCCATATGGGTGCCAGTGTGAGTCCCGGCTGCTCCACTTCCAATCCAGCTCTCTGCTATGGCCTGGGAAAGTAGTAGAAGATGGCCCAAGTGCTTGGGCCCCTGCACCCCACCATGGAAGAAGCTCCTCGATCCTGCTTCAGATCGGCGCAGCTCCAGCCTTTGCAGCAGATTGGAGAATGAACCAGCAAATGGAGAACCTCTTTCTCTCTCTGCCTCGCCTTTTCTCTCTGTGTAACTCTAACTTTCAAATATATAAGTAAATCTTTAAAAAAAAAAAAAAAAAAAAAAAAGAACAGGCACCCATAAGGAATGCTGGTGCCACAGGCGGATGCTTAACCTACTATGCCACAGCACTGGCCCCGAAATGTAAACATTTTACTCATCACCCTGACGCAAGTCAAAACGCCCTATTTCACATTCACTTCAATGGTACCCATACTTTTGGACAGACGCCTCTGTCATAGTAACATAATGGATTCTGTTTGCTCTGTGACACTACACTGCTCTAGTGTGTCTTACACTGGTGCTCTTTGTGAGTTTGAGTTGCTAAGTTTATCCTCCAAGAGCTTTTTCCTCAGGGGTGTTTGGCCTTAGGCAGTCTTATGATCCATTTAACAAAACGGCCCCAGGGTGGTTTGGGGATGGTTGGAGGGAGATGGAGGCAGGGAGGCACCGGGAGGCTAGTGGAAGCTTCCTGAGCAGGAGCTGTCTGCTCTAGGATCAGAAAACAGGTTCAGCTTCAGGAGCGTGCAGAGGGCACAGCAAGTCATTCCCAGCCGGGGAAGTCAGTGGGAAAAGAAGCCATGCGGAAGAGGTGCGTGGGGCCCATTCCCGATACCACAAGATGTTTCATTGAATGTTCCGGTCCCAGCTCCACTCTCAATTCCAGCTCCCTGCTAATGCACACCCTAGGAGGCAAGAGGGGATGCCTCAAGTAGTTGGGTCCCTGCCGCCACCAACATGGGAGATCTAAACTGGGTTCTTAGCTCCTGGCTTTGGGTCCCTTGTGGGTAACTGGGAAGTGAACCAATAGATAAGAACTATCTGTCTGTCTGTCTCTGTGTGTCTTTCCAGTAAATAACAGTGATAACAAGACCTGAGTGGGGCATAGGGTTTTTTTTTTTTTTTAAAGATTTATTTGTTATTGCTTGAAAAGCAGAGTTACAGATAGAGAGACAAAAACAGAAACAGAGACGCGAGATATTTTTTCTGCTGATTTATTCCCCAGATGGCTGCAGTGGGAAATTGGGAGGTAGGAGTTCTGGGTCTCCAATGTGGGCAAAGGGACCAAGCGCTTGAACCAT